AAGGAATTTGCCAGGCAGGAAAGTGCCAAACCCTTCTGGCTACTCGGGCATCAGTGAGGTGAACAGGCAGGGAAGGGGGGGACGGGAAGGGAGAGGGCTGTGTGTGGAGCACAGCGCTGTGAGGCCTCTGCCAGGGCTGGGTCCCTGCTCTGCTCGGGGCTGCCCACAGTCCGACCATGCCCCAGAGAGCCCACAGAGCAAACGCACGTCACAGGGCCGCTCCCGGTGCGGGGCCTTGGCTGTACCCCACAGCCCCTCTCCTGGGGCCCTCTGCCTCTGGAGAGCCGACAGGGCCCGTTCTCGTCCCGCAGGAACCTCCTGCGCCCCCCTGGGCGTGTGCGCAGTGACACCCCCCCCATCGCCACCGTCCCCTGGCTCCCTGCAGAGCCTGTGGGGAGCAGCCGCTGTGTGGCTGGGCTTCGCGGGTCCCTCCTGCTCCTCCCTCTCGCCCCTGCCCCCCCCCGCCTCATTTATCAGCCCAGGGCTGATGGGGCCAGTAGGGCTCTTACCCCCTGCCCAGCAGCTCGTCTGGGTTTTACTCCAGTCGACATCTCCTGGCTCCCTGACTGGCCTCCCCGGCAGTGGCTGTCCTGTGGAGGGAGGCTCCCTGCGCCGCCTTTCGCTGGAGAGAAGGCAAATACTGCGCAAGAGCAGCAGCCCCGCGGGCTCCCCGCAGCGTGGCCTCCCTGGGACCCTCAGCAGGCGCCTTCCCGCCTCTCCGGGGCCTCTCGGGCCGGCAGTGCCCCTGCCCCAGCTGGTCGCTCGTTTGCACGTGTGCTGGCAGGAGCCCAGAGACCGTGCGCTTGGCGAGGCTGGAGCAGTGACCGGCGCCGCCAGCCTTGTCCTGAGCTCAAAGCGAACCCCGGGGCTGGCTGAAGACGTGATGTCTGCTTCGCCCCAGGTCGGTGCAGCAATGTGCCAGCCTCTGGCAGGCCGGGCTGTCCGGTGGCTCCTTGCAGTGGCTGCAGGTTCAGGCGTCGCTACCCTCGTCCTCATCCTTGTTCAAGTGAAGGACGTTCCTCTGCCGCCAAGAACCAAGGTAGGCGCCCGAGACCGGCCCGCCGCGCGGGGCCCTGCCCGAGACCGGCCTGCCGCATAACTAAACGAGCCTCTCTTGGCCTTTATTCCTCCTTTCTCTTTTCAGCTCTCTCGGGCATCACGTGTTTCCTCTCCTCTGTCCTCCTCCCCCGGTTCCATGACCCTTCCCAGTTCTCTCTTTCATCCCTGTTTTTCCAAGACTCTTGCACAACTACCACGTCCTGATTTCCCAGCCTCCGGTAGCCGTGAAGAGGCCGCAGGTTTGTCCATTCACATGTCTCCAGGGCCTGAGAGCTCAGGGGGTTTCACTGCAGGGGTGAGACTTGGGTTTACTCCACTTCCTTGTTCACCGTGTAACTGCCACGGCAGACCCCAGGGATAGAAACCAAGACCTGGTGGAAGCCTGAATGTGCAGCGTGCTGTGACCCGTCTTCTCCACCCTCCTCAGTACGGGCTGGTGTTGGACGCCGGCTCCTCGCACACGACTCTCTACGTCTACCAGTGGCCGGCCGGCAAGGAGAACGGCACCGGCATCGTCAGCCAGGCCGCGGCCTGCACCGTACCAGGTCGGTCGGCTGTTTCTCTCATGGCCGCTCTCGGGGGCGAAGGCAGCTGTGCTGCTGCCCTGCACGTGGCTGGCTCCGCCTAACCCGCCCCCTTCTGCCTGGTCGGCTCCTGGGAGAGCGGCTGGGCCATTCATCCCGGGAGGGGTTGCGCCAAGTCCGGGGGGAGACACCAGGGCGAATCTGGCCATTGGCGTGAATCTGGTGCGGCCCCGGGTGGCCTTTGCTGCTTAGCGGCCTGCAGCCGATAGCCGCCCGGTTAGAGCCCAGCGAGAGCGTTCTCCACCTCTTCCCTGCGCGCTGATGCCATCGGACCCCCGACCCTCCTCCGAGCTCTCCTGCCCCCGGGGCCAGGCCAGGGCAGCGCTGTCTGCCCCTGCCCCGCCCGGCTGAGCTCAGGTTCTCACTGGGATTGTTCCAGGCCCCGGGATCTCCAGTTACGCTGACGACCCTACTGGGGCTGGGGCCAGCCTGAGGGCCTGTCTGGACACAGCCATGACGCTCATCCCCGCCAAGCAACAGCGAGAAACGCCCGCCTACCTTGGTGCCACCGCGGGCATGCGGCTGCTGAGGTACCCGCAGTGCCTGGCAGGGGCCGGGCGGGCGGGAGGGGGGGCGGAAGGGGGAGGGGCGCTGGGTGGCCCCAGCAGTTGTCAGTCCCCTGCAGTGTGGTGGGGGGTGTTTGGGGACAGGCCCCAGTCCGTGCACCGCAGAGCGGGTCATGTTCTCCCGGTGCCTCTGAGCTGTGGCCTGGACAGTCCCGGGGGTCTTGCAGGGCCGGGCTCTCCCCATCGGGCCCCGTGCAGCGGGAGGGGCTGCGGCTGTAGTTCCCAGGGTACGTACCCGCAGCTGGTAGCTGGGCGTTAAGCACCCTCCTGGGAGCTGCTGCGCTGGGGGCCGGGCGCCGGGGTCCCAGTTGGCGCCCGGGGAGTTGTTGCGGGTTGTTACCCCTGGGCTGTGATTGGATTGGGCCGTCGCTGCGGCTCAGAGCTCAGGGCCCAGTGGGGTCTCTCCCCTCGCCGTCCGCAGGGAGCAGAACAGCACGAAGGCCGACCTGGTCTTTGCCGAGGTCTCCAGGACCATCCGGCAGTACCCGGTGGCTTTCCAGGGTGCTCAGATCCTCACTGGGAACGAGGAAGGGTCCTTTGGCTGGATCACGATCAACTACCTGCTGGAGACACTCGGCAAGGTCAGTGCCAGGGCGGGGGCTGGGCTGCTCCTCCGGGCCAGCTCATTTCACAGACATGCCCCTTTCTCTGGCTCCCGCCGCAGGGCAGGGGCAGGGCTGGTGGGACACGGGACAGACCCCTCGGGAGTGCAGGGGGCACCCGTCAGTAGATTCAGGGGGAGGGGGAGGGACTTGGAGGCCTCTGCTTTCCGATGAGACAGAGCTCGGGGGGCAGCCCTTGAGTGGCACGTGGTGTCCGAGGCCGCGCCTCCTAGTGCAAGAGTCACAGACGCTGGTGAGCAGCGATGCCGGGCGCTGCGTTCCTAGGGAGACGGGCGCCCTGCCCCGGCCCTCTGCTCCTAGCTCCAGGCCCCACGGAGACTGATCCATGGGGGGCAGTTCTCCTTCACAGGCGTGTGGACACACCCAGGGCAGCCCTTGAGTGGCACGTGGTGTCCGAGGCCGCGCCTCCTAGTGCAAGAGTCACAGACGCTGGTGAGCAGCGATGCCGGGCGCTGCGTTCCTAGGGAGACGGGCGCCCTGCCCCGGCCCTCTGCTCCTAGCTCCAGGCCCCACGGAGACTGATCCATGGGGGGCAGTTCTCCTTCACAGGCGTGTGGACACACCCAGAGCCCTAGACGGCCCCTTCCCCAGACCTGGGCTCCCCGGGGCTCAGCACCAGCCCGCTGGGTCCCACCCTGGCCCTGCCCTTTGGAGATTGTATCTGTGGCTGTACAGTGCGGCGCCAGGCAAAGCGGGTAATAACTTGGCATGTCACAGGGAACCCTGTGCCCATCAGCTCCTCACCCTTCGCCCCTGCGCTGCAGGAGGGAAGCGGGCAGGGGGGTCCCCCCGGAGGGGCCTCTGGCCGGCTTGGCACCTGCAGCTCCCGCTGAGCACCCCTAGAAGGGTGCCTAGGACTGAGGAGCTGGCCTGGGGCGTCCAAGGTTGGGCACCTGCAGCCAAACGGGCTTGTTCCCGCTCCAGGAGTCTGCAGCCAGAGTGGGTAGAGCCTGAGTTCTCCTGGTGCTCAGCGCCCCAGCCTGGGGCTGGGGATGAGCACAGCTCGGAGCCTTAGCCCGCTCCATGGCCCCACGCCACCCCACTTCCGCCCACCAGTCTGCAGCTGCCCTGCCCACGGAGCCTGGACCTGCTGCTCGTGGGCGAGTCACAGGGAGACCAGACGCCCCCTCGGTTGTTCGGCGGGACCCTGGTGCAGGGCCGCGTGCGAGCTGTCCAGGGCCCTCTGTCAAGGGTGGCTGCTGAGCTGCGACAGACACAGCCTTGGGGAGGGGCCGAGCGGGGCCCCTTGCACCCAACAGGCAAGACGTCTGGCAGGAGACTCCTGCAGGAGGAGGTTGGCGGCCGCCAAGAGGCCCTTGTTTTTGGGGCGGGGGGCTGAGGCCCGGTGGGACGTGGCCTGCTGCGGTGACTCGGCCGTGAGGGGGGAGCAGCCCCCGGTTTGCTGACTCGGCCCCTGGTACCTGCTGGACGAAACGCGTGAGGGTGCAGGGCAAAATGCCGGGGGGCCAGCGTGTTTTGTAAAGAGGAATCGGCACCTGCCTCTGCCCCCCCAGGCTCTGCCCCTGAGATCTGCCCGGCCTGAGATTGTCCATTTGGGTGCCCATGTGCAAGCCCCAGGGGATCCGTGGCAAGCCCAGCCCCTCCCCCCCGCCTGGGGATCTCCGGCGAGGAGGCTCTGGCTGACCCTGACCCTCCCCTCGATGGTCTCCCAAAGGAGCCAGGCGGGGGGATGCAGCCTCCTAGGCCAGCCCTCGTGCTGCTGCGAGGGCCCGGGGTGCACGGCCTGCAGGAGCAGAGCAGGGCGGCTCAGGCTCACCGTGATTCTGCCCCCGCCCCATCCAGAAGTTTCATTTCTGCTCTGGCGGCTGCCATCGGGGCAGGC